GTGTCCTGACGTTGCGCGCGGGTCCCGACCCTGTCAATGCCTGCACCCTGCCGCGTCCGCCCGGGCAGCCCAGGCTGCTCCTGCCCAGCGCTTTCTGCGAGGCTTTGCGAGGCGTGGAACTGTTTACTGCGTGCGCGCCGGTCCTTAAGCTGCCTTGTGGAGGTTTTAAAAATCTGGGCTGTCATCGTAATAGTTCTGAAGTCAAGATTGGAATGTTTTTATTGACTGTATGAGCGCTATTCATTTCGAAATCTTCGGTTTCTCTTAGGAACACATTTATACAATTTGTACGGTTACACAGGTATGAGGTGAGGACGCACCTGCAGAAAAGTTTGAGGCCACGTGGTGAGAGCTTCCCTTAGGAAAGATCTGTCTTTAACTTCAAGTGATACGAGCAACAGCTGGGGGGCTCGGAAGGGGGTGGGCGCTTTAAATTGCTGGTTTTTTACCGAATGGTAAAGCAATGTGATGAGAAAGATTTTCACTGACGTCAGTGCAAATATTTCTCCGAAACAAAAGATACTGAAATGAGTAGTCGTGCGTCTGAAAAATATAGCAGTGTCTTCAAGTACTTTTTACAGTTGTACTTAAAAGCCTCCCAAAATAACTTACCATCAATTAGCACCTCTTTCGCCAAGCTCAAATTTTCAGAAGTGAGTTGTTGTTCTAATGCTTGAGAGTGCAGTTTTTAGAAGCTAGGGGAACCTTTTGGGATAAGCACTGAAATGCAGAACAGTAATCCTGGTTATACTTTATCTGATTTGTAACTAGTTAACAAATCTCGATATATAGCTCTGCCTGTTAATTTTGTTCAACATAGTATCATATAAAAGGAAAACAACAGACCTCAGATATTATCAGATTACTTGAGTTGTACTGTGTAGTGGTTCACCCCTGTAATGCTAGCACTCACAAGGCTGGAGCAGAAGGATCGCCATGAGTTTGAGGCCAGTCTGAACTACTTAGACCCTATCTCAAAAAAAATAAAATAAAAAATTACTTGAATATTATATGTAAATAGTGGAAGGAGAATAAAAATGATCCTAAATCTCAATCAAACAAGAGCCAGGGTGATTACTTTGGTAACAAAATAATTGTTACCATATTTTATCATTCCTCTAATGTTTAGTAGTTTGAAATGACCTTTGTCAGCTCCTGTACGTCATATCCAACTTCACTTCAGTCCAGTCATGTGTTTAAGATACTCTTATTTTCAACTCAAGACTTGTCTTCTTTCCAGTTGAATACAGAGTATTAGAAATACTGTAGGTAGAAAGTAAAATCTATAGGTTCCATAATTTACAATCAGGTAATTCTGATATTGAAGTGCTGAAAACGGATGTCTAGCAATATAATTTTCATGGAGCCTTTTTAAATTGCAAAAAAAGAGTGTGACCATTTTGTTTAAATCTCAAGAAACAATAGTGTACATTTGTTCATTCAACTTTGGAGTGTAAGTTAGAGTTAGGACATACAATTGATTGGGATACAGACTTTTCTAGTGCCCACCCAAGCCATTACTTTAAAAAAAAATCATTCCCTGTCAAATCTAACATAATTAGCTGCAAATAATTAGCAAATAAGGGTGTTTTTTCTTTTTCCTATAGGAAGAAAGGTCAAAAAATAATAGGGGCGGGGATTTAGCTCGTGGCACTGGGCCTGCCTCACAAGTACGCGGTCCTGAGTTTGATCTCTGGTCCTGAAAAAATAATAATAAAGTGGTGCAGGTGAAAACCAATTATGTTCACTAAGAATTTTCTAATTTTTTTCTTCAGGTGAAGTGCACCGGTTTAGAACTTTTGACATTTCTCAAGCCACGTTAGCCAGTGTAGCCCCAGTGTTTACTGTGGTGAGTATATCGTACATTTGATAACTTACAGGAAGTACTTTCCAGGCTCACTAACAGAGGTGTACTTTTGGCTGAGCTATTAATTACTTTTGTTTTATAATGAATTATTTTATCATGTTGTTTGTGGGTTGTGCTTAGCCAGCGACTTGTGGCTTAGTAATCTTGAGACTTTGCTAATGACTGTGTAGCTCTTAGAATAGCTTGTTTGAATCATGGTTTACAGTTTCCTCTTTAAACACTAAGATTTCCTGTTTAGAAGCCCTTGAAAGCTATTAGCCACAGTGGGACTTGAATCTGTGCTCTACAAAATTATATGCAGAAACACCTTAAAGCAACACAAAGTGCTTGATCTGAGCCACACTTTCCTAAATTCAAATCTCAGCTCTGCCTCTTCCTGTTAACCAGGTAAATTCAGACAAGTTATGGTAATATTTTTGTACCTTAGTTTTCTCATCTGTAAGTTGCCTTCTAAAAATCTTGCAAGGATTAAATATACCTTATAGAAGTGTTTTGAGGGGCCAGGGATATAGCTCAGTGGTTCTACTGCCTGCCTTGCAAGTGCAAGGACCCGAGTTCAATCCCCGGTACCTAAAAAAAGAAAGTGTTTTGAGTATTAATACACCTTAAAGAATTGTTGTGAGGATTAAAATAATGCATATGGAAAGCCCTTAAAATAGATCCTTCTGTGCAGTAAAAGTCCAGTATATGTTAGCTGCAAAAATTCTTTAGGCTTATTAATAGGACTTTTTTCTTTTCTTTTCTTTTTTTTGGCACTGGGAATTGAACTCAGGTCCTTGTGCTTGCAAGGGAAGGCACTGGAACCACTGAGCTAAATCCCCAGCGCCTGTAGGACTTTTCTTTATAAGCTGTATAGACCAAGATAACTCCTGACATTACACGTGGAAGTTACTATGTTTTTGGTTCTGGAAGAGTTGACCACTTTAATTAAACCAGAATACAAAATTATGTGTTAAATATTGAAAGAAAATGCTTTGCAGGTAAAATAATTGTCTACCAAGAACACAAGAAATCAGCTGATGCTATTTGAAATAATGAGTTTAGGAAATGAGCAGATTACAAAGCAGCCCCCCCCACCTTGTCCCAGGAACCGAACCAGGAGAGGTATGATTTTAAGAAAATAAAAGCCCTATTAAAAAGATGATACATATTGAGATGCAGAAATATTTAGTACATTTTATTAAGTTGGAGTGGAGGACAGTGCAAAGATGTATGTGTAGCAATACATTCTATGGAAAAGACTCGAATCAGTAAAATATTAACATGGTTTTCTGTAGAATTTGTCACAGCACAACTTAGTTTTACTTGACATGTTGCTTCTCATTTTCTGCAGGGGATGTATGTGTTTATGATATGAATTTAAGGTGGAAAGCTAGTCTGTTTTACACAAATATAGAACTTCTTTATAAATTTTCCTTTAATGTTGATATTTTATGCTACTCACGTATTCATAATCTTTGCTCATGAGAAGGAAGCTAATGTGTTCTGTGGGTTATGTTCGAACACAGCATGCATGTTCTGTATTATACCTACAACTGTACCTTATAGCGTGTCTTTCTGAAAATGTGTATTTCATAGCAAATAGAACAGCCCAGCACACAGATTTATTATATATTATTTGATAACTTCAGACTTGACAGTGGATAAGCATATAAAAAACTATTTCTCTATGTTAAGGAAATAAGTGCATTTTGTGGAATATAGCTTCTTTCAAACTATCAGAAAAGGAGTGTTCTGTAAATCTTTATCGACTCTACAGTGCCTAAGAGAGACTTCTTAGTCTCATAGACATTTAGATTCACAAGACAGGCCACACATGGTCCATTCTGCTGACAAGGACAGGAAGCAGTGCAGTCTACCAGTGAGTGTCTGTTATTCATAGCAAGTCCTTGCAGCTACCGGGGCATCTCTGGCCTGCTCAGTGACAGCTCTGGTGCAAGGAGAAGCAGTTAGCAGAGGAGAATGTGAGATCCACTTTGGCTCAGTAGCCCACCGCCCCTCAGTGCTAGTGTGTCTTGTCACCAGCTCAGAGGCACAGCTTCCAGGCCCACAGCGAACAGCCTTGTTGCCAGCAACCACTGAGGGGAGGGCAGAGCTATGGCATCATTTTTGGTGACTGTAAAGAGTGTCACCAAGGACCTAGATGATGCTCCTTAGTCACAGGTCCATGGGCTCCAGGTAGAAGGTTAGTCCCAGATCAGGCTTTTCCTAGCAAAGGAGAGGGTGATTTTTCTCTTAACCTTTACATCTAATTAACCTAGAGATCAGTTATGGTCTGTAACTGCATTTTAATATTTTGAAGATTGTACTTCATGCCTTAAATAGCATACTAGTCGAGAAAAACTAATGTTGTTTTTATGATCTATCTTCAGACAAAATTTGACCAAGAGGGAAATGTTACTTCTTTTGGTAAGTATCTTTATTTTATTCTAAATCTTTTTTTTTTTAATCAGTGAATGAGTGAACCTGGTGGCACTTAGGAGATTGCAGTGTTTCGAATGAAAAACTCTGTGTTACCGGGGTATGGAAGGAGATCTCCCTTGGCATTTTCCCGTCAATCCTAAGTGGAACTGACAGTGCCAAGACTGTGCGTGTTCTCTCAGAATTTTCATCCAGCAGGTGTCACTTTGACTCCTATTTTGGAGAATGGAGCCAGGGATAGAGACACCTTTTCCCCCTTTTGTTTCTCTTCTGGTAGTCTTTCTTACACTGCCCTGCACCTCATGTTCTTTCTGAAATGTGTTTAAGGTAGAATTCGTATAATACCACTGGTACTGAAGTGGGTGGCCACAGACATGGTGGACAGGCCACTGGGTGGAAGTTGCATGAAAGCGCTGTGATTGCTGTCTGTGGACAGCTACTTTTTAAGATGAAACCAGGTATTGCTTTACTATGTGGCTTGAGACTAGTTCCTGAACCCCCTGTGCTCGCAGATGCATAATCCTGTTCCAACCACTGCTGAGATCTGATTATGTTTTGCTCAGTGTCCCCTTCAAAAGATTATTCTGCTTATAGCCCTGTCATAGGTGTGGTTGGACACTACAGGAACAGACACTGCTGCTGTCAGTGTTATGTCTTGAGTTTCTGTCATCTGATAGGCGTTCTCTTAGGTAATAAATTCAGTTTTCAGCTAGGAGAATCTGGTATGAGAACCGATCTAATTTTTCTCATTGTGTATTTTTCTAAGAACAAAGAAAATCAAATTTATTTGTTTACACTTTTGCAATACTGAAGATGATGTAATGAGAAAAAATAGAAAATGCAGTTGTATAAAACTCGTGTTCAAGAAAGATGACCTGTCCCTAACGCGAGAAGTTGCTGCTGTAGGTCTGTGATACATAGCTGAGACTTGTCTCTTACGGGTTCCTAGGGCTTCTAAGGGCAGAGAAGTTTTACCAAGAAAAAGGAATAAAAAAGATAAGGAAATAATTAGAGTTAGCTGACAGTGTTTTTGAGGTAACAATGGGTATTAAAAGACTCAGTTTAGGTTTTGTTTTTTATAGTAGTAGAGAATTGTTGATGGTTCTGGGAAGGGTACTCTGACAGAAAATCTAAATAAGCTCTTGATTTATTAGTTTAGCTTGTTCTTATTTCTTTTATAGAAAGGAAAAAAACTGAATTATACCAAGAATTAGGTCTCCAAGCCAGAGATTTGAGATTTCAGCATGTGATGAGCATCACAACCAGAAACAATAGGATTATCATGAGGATGGAGGTAATAGATTTTATTTTCATCTACGGTTCTCCACTGCAGTTTAATCAAAGGTACCTGCAGATTCCTTGGTCAATATATAGGTTAAAAGGAATTTTAGACTAAAAATATCTGTGTGGAACACGTACATTTTACATAGAACTCATTTTACATGAATTATAGTCGTATGATCAGTAGGCATAACTGTTTTATGTTGGAATAATTATGTTCTCATTGTTTGAATTTAGTCACTAGTTTCTGAAATTATAAAACTATTTGTAATAGATATTTTCACTTACTTTGTTATGCATAGTTATTGTATAACCATATTATAACCTTATAATATGTTACCAGGAACATATTCTGGTTTCCTATATCTAGAATTATATTTTGAATCCTACTTAAATTTTTATTGAAAGCTTTCTAAAGTATTTTGGATCTTCCCTGTGTACTCAGAGAATCCCACATACATTGACTTTTCCTCAGCGATTCAGAGTTAACAGGGAGATTGTTATTGTGGAGGGCAAAAGTTTAGGGTTCTGCCAAAGACAAAGAGTCACAGAACTCGGCAGTATTGGCGCGGCACTGACTTGCTTTCTGCAATACAGCTTTGATGGTAGATATGTCCATTTATCTTGAGTTGATAAAAGATAATCATGTTCAGCCAGGCGTGGTGGCGCATGCCTGTAATCCCAGCACTCGGGAGGCTGAGGCAGGAGGATCACTTTGAGTTTGAGAGCAGCCTGGGCTACACAGTGAGTTCCAGAGCAGTCTGAACTACATAGTGAGACCCTGTCTAAAAAAAAAAAAAAT